GCACCTCCACCAGCCTGTGCACCTCCACCAGCCCCGCCTGCGCACAGCACCGCAGCCGTAAACAGCGCCGGCCCTCGCCCAGCCCCGCCCCACGCCGGCCCAGTCTCGCCACGTCCGCAGCCTCGCCCGCCGCCACCGGCTCGTCGGAGCTCGCCGTCGCGCAGAGCGCCCGCCGCGATCGCTCGGCGGGCGGCGTCAGCGGCGGCGCGCCCCCACCCACTCCGCCCCCGCCCCCGCCCAGGCTGATGCCGCCGCCCGCGCCCGCGTCGGAGAGGGCCGAGACGGCCTGCACGAGGTCGAGCAGCGTCTCGAGCGCGAGCTCGCGCGCGCGGCTGTACGCCGGCCCGCCCACCCACCTGCTCACAGCACGACCCGCCGTCAAGGGGACGCGCGCCCGTACCGCCGGCCCGCGCCACCCACCCGAACGGCAGCGGCGGCGGCTGCGGCGCTCCGCCAGGGGCGGCGCCGCCGCTGGCCGCCGGCTTCGGGTCCGGCCGCTCCGGCGCAGCGATGGCGCGGAGGGCGGCGGCGAGGTCCTGTGGGGACGAGTCGCGAGCTCTGCTGTGGATGTGACACCCTGGCCGCACCTCGGCTCGCCCTCGGCTCGCTCTCGGCTCGCCCTCGCTCTCGGGTGGCATGTCAGCTCGGCTAGTCTCAGCTCGGCTCATCTCAGCTCGGCCCTCCTGCAGCAAGTCCGCGCGGGCGGGGTGGCAGTCGAAGCGGAGGTAGACGTGCAGCGGCAGCTCGGTCAGGACGAGGAGGGACTGGAGGTGCTCGAGCGCCGTCTCGATCAGCGCCGGAGGGAGGAGGTGCGGCGAGGCGGAGGGCGACCCTCCGCCCAGCAGCTTCAGGTAGATGCGCGACAGCATCGCCTCCTCGCGCGCCGACCCTCCGAGCCCGAGCAGCAGCAGCACCTCCGCGACGCACTGCAGCACCAGAGACAGCACCGACGACGCGCCGGGAACCTCTGACACTCGGCCTGATGACGCCTCCGAGATTGCAATCTCCACCTCGGCGGTCTGCACCATGCAGAGCGAGATGTCGTCCTCGAGCAGCGCCTGCTCACAGCCAGGCGGTGTGAACAGACACCGCCCGCCACCAACCTGCCGAGACGCCCTCCGGCGCGCGCGCCGCGAAAGCAGGAGCGCGCGCGAGCACCCGCCCGCCGGCCCGCAACGCCACGAGGAGGAGGGAGAGGCCAAACTCGCGCGCGGCGCCGTCCTGCGGCCGCGGGGCAGGAAGCGGGCGAGCGAGGCTGCGGTGAGAGCAGGCGACCTCGCGCGAGATCTCGCAAGCTGTGTGCTTGCTCGCCTGGCCGCCGCCGCCTCCGCCTCCTCCGGGCGTGCGTCCCTCGATCAGCGCGAGGAAGAAGCGGAGCACCTCGTAGCACCCGCTGCCGCCGTACGGTGCCGCCGCCTCCTCTGCTGCCCCGCCGCCGCCCCCGCCCCCGACGGCCGCGGCGACGCCGCCAAAGCCCTCTGGCGGCGGGCTCGTGCCTGGGCGCGCAAGGAGAGGGGCTCAGCTGGCAAGGATGAGGTGGGCGGAGGCGGCGGCGGCAGGCGTGGGCGGCGGCGCAGGCAGCGAGAAGAGGTTGGCAAAGGGTGGCAGCGAGAGAGAGAGAGGCTGGCAGAGGCTGGCAGGCAAGAGGCGTCTGGCACACGTGGCAGTGTGTGTGTGTGTGCGTGTGAGCTTCTCGAGGCCACGCCTCGCTCCACCGCGAGCGGCGCCTCGCCGTCGAGCGACGCGTCCGCACCAGTCGCCTCCGCACTCGCCGCCGCCTCTGCACTCGCCGCCGCCGCCGAAGAGTCGTCCGGCGCCGCTGCGGCGTCTTGCGACTCTGCGCCGCTCTCTCCGCCGGACGAGGCCGCCGCGTCGGTCGGGGGCGGGGTGGGGGCGGCTGTCGGCGGCGGCGGTTGCGGCGGCGGGCCCGACGGTCGGTTGAGGATGGCGGCGGAGTTCGGTGCGGCGCCGAGAGGGGCGACGCGGAGGCGGGCGGGCGGGAGGGCCTCGAGGCTGGCGGCGAGGAGGGGAGGGAGGGGGGCGGGCGGTGAGAGGGGTGGCGGTGGGAGGCCGTTGGAAGGCGGTGGGAAGCGGTTGGGAGGCCGTGGGAGGCGGTGGGAAGGGTGTGGCGGGTCCCACCGGGAGAAGAAGGCTCTCCACTAATTTGCCGAAGGAGCCCTCCGGCCGAAGTGGCGAAACCACCTCCGGTGAAGGGAGGGGAAGCCTTGGGAAGGGGGGGGGCGGGGGA